ACCCCTCAGTATACTCAAGGCAGTCTTGCAAATTTCCAGCTCTTTGCCTTCATGTATTTTTTGGGGACTGTAGACAAATAATAGAGCAATTTTTCTGTTGCAGAGAACTCAGAAAGACCATAGCAGGTCAGAGTGGTTTTGATGCTATAGATTCCTGGGTTTATCTTGTGAATTAAATGTAAGTGTTTGCACACCTAACTGCTAATATCGCAAAGCACTCTGCAGTACCCATAAAAGGATCTTGCAGCGCCCAAGGGTGCTGCATCACCCTGGTTGAGAATCACTCTCCTGAGGGATCAAGGGAGTAGTATGCTTCTCCAAGGTGACTGGGTCTTCTCTATCCAACATTATATATATGTTATATTATATATGTTATATATAAATGTTTGATTGCTACTCACGATTCATAGATGGCCATGGACATTCTCCAAATTGTGTTACCAAATAACATTAAGAAATTGTCTTGTAGATATCCTTTTTGATTTTATAATTCTATATTTGTAAATCAGATGAAGAAAAAGAGTTAACAGAACCTGGGTGCAAAAGGTGTTTGCAGAGCTAAAGAGAAATTAAGTTCTCTGGCCTTCTGTTAACTATTTTTGAATTATGACTGTTCTATCTGCTTTCACATCAGTTTAAAAATGAATATGCTCCTGCCTTTGGATGCCAAAGATCGTTTGTGCTAAGACCAAAGTGTATTAGGCTGACCATGTATTACAGCACAAGCTCTATTTTTTCCCATTTTTCCCTATATGTTGCCTATAACATGGATCTTAGACTCTAACCCAGTGTAAACACACCTCAATTGACCTCTATGGGAGCCTCCCTTTGTGAAGTCAGTTTCCCTAAATAATATTATAGACAACAAACCACATTGGAGGGTAGAGCCAAAGTTAAGGATGCATAATTTGCATTATGACACAGTCTTTAGGTACATGCACAAATTCTATTTTTCCACTGTGCTTCTATCCCCTTTAGTGCACTGAATGGTAGGTGCTAGGTCTCCATGATCAATTATTTATATGGTAGGGGAATGGTAAGACTCAAATTGCTTGTGAGGAAAGCATAATTTGGTGGACACAGATTTTTCTCTCTGTTTCTTCCTAACTTGACTTCTTCTATCCCATTACCTGCAACTTGTTCCTATCTCATTTCTGGCCCTTACGCAACATTGGCTCATTTTCCCAGTTGGCTCATTCTCTTCACCTACTCAGCTGAGCTGTTTGTGCCTGCCACTTTAAGGGGCCAGAAGGCAGCAGCCGGCAGGTGCCTGATGAGGGCAGCCATTTTAGATTCAGGGCTGCCCAAATAAACAGGGCGTTTTGCTGCTGGGAGGCCAGGCAAAAACATCGCCTGGCTGCAGGGTTGCTGGTATCATCGGGAGGTAAGGGAGGAGCTGAAGGGGATGGTAAGGATGCTCCTGGTCCTGGGCATGACCTAAAACTGCACCCTGCTGGGAGTGGGTGGCCTGGTGGGGCTCTCAGTGGTGCAGGAGCCCCCAGAAAATGCCAGGCCAGTTACCACCCCAGTGAAAGGTGGGTCAGGGCACCTTAACTCCTAGCCCCCACAACTGGGTGGGTTACTCCTTTTTGGAGGGTCTTGAAGGTGGACCCCAGAGTGTGAGGCCATAGACTCACAAACCTGTCTGACATTTCCCCTGACTGGTCAATGCTGGGGCTAGGACCAGAAGGGTCAAAGAGCCAAGGGGCCCACCGCAAGGAACGCCCAAGAGCTGAGGGCCTGGGGTTCCAACTGGCCTGGAGGTGGGCCAGGGCTCGTAGCCCAAGGTCCCACCCCACCCGTGAGGGGGAAGCAGCTCAGGGAGCTATGTTGCTGAGAATGAAGGCAGATTAGGCTGCCGGAATGAAGGGATCTTAGAGGGGTTCAACAGTAGGATTCTGGGGGCCAGTGAGGGGCCGGTGACTGTGAGAACTATGGATGCTATCTGTGAGGCTTGGGCTGCAGTGTAGGGGGGGATTGGAGCTGCAGATAGCACCCCTGGCATCGGGGCAAGAAAATGGGCAGCCTCCCGCTTTATTAACATCTATTAATTAATTATCATCAAGACATGCTGGGAGAGAAGTCGGGTGGTTAGCCCAGAAACAGGTGGGCGAGCTACAGGGAAATCGGCCCCGAGAAGGCCTCCTGTTACAGTCACCTAGTCAGATTTCTCTCTTGCAGACTCCATACTGTTCCCAGTCTCTTTGATCATCCAGTTCCCTACCTCCCTACTCTTATTTTACTGCTTTCAGTCTGCTTCCCTCTCTCCCCACTCCTCTCCCGTCCCCCCAATCATGCTCTCTACCTTCACCAACTCCCAGTCCCAGTCTCTACATGGGCTGCACCTCCAACATCAGTTCTCTCTTCTTGTTTCAGTCTGGCAGTCCAGCCACTGCCTAATCTTCCCCCATATTCCAGCTCTTTTTCCAATATATCTCCTCCCAGTAGGTACTCCACAAGTTCCCAGTCCCAGTTTCTGCCTCTGGCTCCTCAGCCTATTTCAGTTCCACACCCACCTTCTCCTCTCCTCCTCTCCATGCCCCCTCCTTCCCTTCATTTCCATTCAAAGCTCCTAACAACAGTCTCCTTTGCACAGTCATTCTCATCCTCTAGCTACCAGTCTCAATCTCCCATCAATCTGGCTCTTTGTTCCAGTTGACTTCTCCAGCACTACTTTGCCATGCCCTAGGTCTAATAGGGTCCTATAATGGAAAGTGTTGGGTATCCTAAGTCATAGGTGGTTCTACCAGTCCTGTTTATAATAGCATCTTGCTCTTACATGGGCAGGCAAGGTTCTTTGAGTAGATCTGAGATCTTTTATTAGACCAACTGAGTAGTGATCAGATTCCTTGGAGTCTCAGACCAGCAGAGACTCCCTATGCCTGAAGAAGGGTGACTGCACCTGAAAGCTTGCCAATAAATTTTTTCCAGATACTCAGTTGGTCTAATAAAAAATATCACATCTACTCAAAGAGCCTTGCCTGCCTATGTCCAAGGACCAACACGGCTACAACCAAAAACCCAGCAACATGGAAGATTGCTCTTACATGGCACAAGTGAAAAGATGAATGGCCTATCACTTTGCTAATAGTATTTAAAGAAAGCTATTGATAAAAGCTGATACAGTGCACCAACATTTGTTAGAAAACATAGTCTGACAAATTTATGAGTATAATTAGAATATAAGCTATTAAATATGTAACCACACAATATTTAAAAGTATTCAAGCTCAGCACGAGCCTTTGTCTATTTTTGTTTGGCTTTGTTTTGAGAGTTTTTGGAGGGAGGTGGAGGGGACAAGATGAGTTAAAAATTAAATATCCCTGTAGAGGGATAGAATGTGTATCAGTCAGTTGTCCTATTATTGTCTCTAGAACAGAAACAGCGAAACTTAGCTTTTGTTGTATTGAAATTATAAATAAAGAAGGTACAGGTTTACTTTCTATTGATAATTTCAATATATAACATTCTTCCAATGTTCCAAAAAAGCATGGAAAGAAACACTATAATAATAAAATCCTTCAAATTCCTATTTAGAGTACCACACTGTACATTATTAACATCACAATTCATAGAGGTCTTAAACACAGTACCATTTGAACTTTCATAAGAGGAAACTAGAGGAGAAACAACCTCAACATGTTGGGGTGATATAAAATGAAATAAATTCAATCCTCTTACTGTTTGAGAGATACGTGGGATCATAGATGCCAAGTAGAAATAGTGTTGACTTTCACTCAATGCATCATTTTTTTTCATATCAAAGACCATTGGAACAATATAGAAAGCTTAAGTCTCCATTTCTTGCCCCTTGCATAATCATATTAGAAGACAGTGTGAAAGAATATTATTAATTAAGAAATTTAGTCTCCACTGAATACTTTTTATTATTTTATTATAGAAACCCAGCTGTAAATGGGTACCTGGTCATTTGGGCTGAGAAGCCACAGGTGTCTAGGCCTTGTGGGCATTTATACACATGCTTAGAGAGTGGGGAAGACGGGGCACTTTAGTCAGAGAGCCATGCTAATTAAAGCACCTGGAATATCACATGTATCTGCACTGAAAAAATGGCATTGAACCAGCTTTAGTTACCACACCCCGCCACCATTTTTCAGTGCGAGGACACTGATACACGTGACACTGGAGTCTGCTTCTGCGCAGTAATTACCACGTTCCTGCAGATTTAATTAACTGAGTCTGCTCTAACGTGCTGTAATTACAGCATGTTGGAGCAGCCTCACTGTGTGACTATAGAGACTTGGGTGCCTTAACTGTGCTAGCCTGCTAGGCCCTCTAGGTTTAGGTGGACCATTAAGTGTAAATCTCAGGTCATTGTACTATGAACTGAATCTTGAGTATTGTGTTCAAATGCAAATCTGGACTCTATAATCTAGATCTGAGGCTACTTGAGAAGGCTGTAGGAGGTACGCATTGGTTGGGTAGGTATGGAACACTGCCACACACGGTCCCACGCTGCCACACAGGTGCCATCTGCCTGGCTAGACGTGGGGGCAGGGGAAGCTCATATGTAGCAGGTACTGCCACTCCACATTCAGCCGTGTGCCACCTCCCTCCCCCACCCCAGCTCCACATCTGGCCACCAGGGGTACACTGCTCTGTGTCTGGCCACCAGGAGTGCACTGATCCAAAAAAGTTGAAAACCCCTGATCTAGATGAGTTGTTAGTTTGTCACATAAGAACAGGTGCAAATGAGTGATGACAATGAAGAATTTTGGGCACAGTCTAGTTTTCATCAAGGCACATTTTAGAGTCTTGATCTGTAAGTAATCTGGACATAGATTGAATAGCATGAGTCTTTGGATCTTGCTCTTACCTTTATAATTTTTCTACCAGATCTTTTGCTAAGCCTCTCACTTTACTGGGTATTAAAAGTGATTGATGAACTGGAGAAGTCAAAGAGGAAAAGGGACAACTGCTCTTCTTCTGATGAGGCCATGCAGCCATATTTAATTGGCTCATTTTGCTTCTCATTCCAGACCTCTTAACTGTTGGATGTGGTGATCTCCATGGTAACTCAAACCCCCAGACTCTTGACAGCAGCCTGCGACAAGCAGCATTCAACAGCTCAAAGATCTCACGAACAGGTAAGACAAAGTAATCCCTAAAATGGTCTTACCTTGGAAACATGATTCACCCATCCTCTTGACTTTCAGATTTTTATCTGCTGGCCAAAGTCCTTATAACCACTAAAACATAACATAATAGATTCTGCATGTTTTACACCAAGGCCTGTTGCCAGAATTTCACATTCATCATCATTCAAGGCTAGGAGAGTTCCACCCTTTCTGTAGTATTTGATAAAGTGTCTGTAAATATTCTGGGCTGTTTTTTAAACTTTTTATAATTTTTTCTTTGTGAAAAATGCAAGGTATGAAAGTAAAGTAGTGCTATATTACTCATAAAGAGGATTTTATGTTATAGTGAACTACTATAGGAGGTCTTTCTTTACAGCTGAAGGAGCCTAAACCCAAACATGCAGTTTAAAGTTTTTTACAAAGTTTTTTATACCTGTTACTGCTTTCTAGTTCTTTATAATAGGCTAGAACCTGCTGTGTCCACCTGGCTTCAAATACCCGCTCACGAGCTGCCTTAGCTCAAGCACCTGGGGGTAGGGATGGTGAGGGTTCATGTGACCACTGAGAGGGACCTCGATCACCCCGAAGAAGGCCCCTGAACTCACCTGCCATGACTCTGAGTGTATTTTCAGTGGAGGGGTCTTCTGTTGAAGGTCCCTCAGGGTCGGTCGCTCCTCCCGGCGGGTATTCATGGAGCTCCATCTCCCCTACACCCCTTCCTTATACCAATCTACAGCGGGCCACCTAATCTTATTGTGGCTGTCCCTCCGGTTCACATGATCTTCAGTCTTCATGCCTTCTCTGGTACTGGTCGCTATCTTTGTCTCTGCTGGTAGGCTACAGGCCCGCTGGATTCACCTCTTCAGGATTCACCCGACTTCAAAGGCAAGTCGGTCTTGCCTTTGCCGACTGCTTGCCGAGCCTTGTGAGCACCCCGGTGTTGGAGTCTTGGTTGGATCCCCTCAAAGTGGACCTAACCCCTGAATAACCAATAAGGAACACAAACAAAAAAACAACACAAGCAACTATGTCCTGACGAGCAGCCACTAAAGAGAGATAAGAGACTTAAAGAAAAAAAAAAGAGGGTGGATAGAGCAGGATAGATCAGGCTGAGCCGCTCTTGCCTTCTCTCAGCCCTATAACTTAAGCCAGGTGGCATCCCCCAGTGATGCTCCGTGCTTTTCCTTTGCCGAGGGTATCTTCTCTTCTCCTCCGAGTGAGCCTTTCTCCTTGGCTTTGCACCTGTGGTAACTCTGAGTAGGGAGTCTCTGCCATCTCCAAGACTCCTGTGACTCCTTCAGGAGCAAGGTCTTCCCCTGGATGCCAGTGGTGCTCGTGACCAGCATGAGGTTGAATTTTGCTGCCACTTGGGATGCCTTTTCCCAAGCAGAATCTGTCTCCTTACTCCGGGGCAGCCTGCTGCCAGCACAGGGAGTCTCTGCCACCTTCAGGGCCTCTCCCCAAGCGGGACCTCCATTTTCTTGCTGGTGCTGGCCATCGCCAATGTGGAGAGCCTCTGCAGCCTCCACTGCTTCTCCCGCTCTCCTCATTTCTCCCCCAGCATTCCTTTTTATCTTCGCCGGCTGGTGATTGCTTCTGACGTCACTCACCAGCACGAGCTAGATATAAGCACGGCTAATGAACCGCGCGGGTTTCATTCTTTGTTCGTCCTGTATCTGGCATCCTGTAGCAGATAAATGGTTTTTGTTTTCAGGGGTTTTTCTCCTGGGGTGTGTATCCCCCCATCCCAGGGTCCCTTGTGGGGAGGGTCTCTAGTTCCCCTATGGTCAAGCCCCTGGGACATCTGCATTGACTAATTTGCTGAATTGTTTTTTATTTCTGTGCATATGCATTAAAGTGACATTGCCTGTTGTTGTATATGGTATCAGAATGTTGACATGATGCTTTCTATAGTCATTTATGCAACAATCTGTTGGATCCAGAGTTATCTAAATAGAGCTTGAAGGACACTTTTGTTGTAACCTTGAGTTGTTGGAGAAGACATAACTCTCCCAAATACACTATGTGTATGCATTGCATATGTAGGTCAAGGCCTTGAAGATCTTCCTGGGAGAAATACCTGCATGATTTGAATAGTGGGGAAGATCAAAGCCTCTAGAGCAGATTTTCATCCCAAACTAAACAACTTGGCATTTTTTACAAAAATTGAGGATTAGCTACCTCATGAGTGTTTAATCATGGAGTACCGTTTTTAACCCTGGCAATTTCTGATCCCTTTATAACATCACCATTGCCACTTCAGGATCTCTGGCATCCAGGCAACTTTTTGTTGAGGGTTACTTTACAGGGCTTTTTTACAGCTTTCTTTCATACCCCTCCTATTTCCAAATTATTCTTTCTCCTCTCACCATTGCTCAGAAAAGAGCCAGCATGCTACGCTTTAGAGACAGATTCACATTTGTCATAAGGGTGGTGACATCCACCTCCTGAAAGAGGTGATTCTTGATTTCTTAATACATATGTTTCAGAAGAGATTAGGAGAGATTAATGGGTCTCCTGATTCGATTTGGATTAAAAAATTCAGCCGCCAAATCGGGCTGAATCTCCTCCAAGTTGAATCAGTAACTGAAGCTTCACATAGCCCTACTGAATATACTATTCATATTCTATTCCAGTGATGAGGTGCCAGATAGCCACACATCCACATATATGCAGGAAGTCTTGTTCACCCTCAGTGTCTGTTATTACCTTGGAAGTTTCTGTGTCCCATATTTTGTACTGTTCTGTTTTTCATCATAATGTCATAGGGTGCTTACACACATGTGGGGAGCCTGCTCTGATGCATTAGAAATCCAGTACATCGGAGCTGCTGGAGCATGTGAATTGATGTGCTTTGGCAGCCTTGACCATCATGTGTATCAGTGGTGTAGCATGTCTCTGCGCTGAGAAAATGGTGGTGGTGCACTTTGAATTTAACCACAGTCAATGTGCTTTAGTTCAAAGCATCCTACCACTATTTTCTCAGCACAGGTACTCACTGTGCTGCTGATACATGTGACATCTGGGTGCTTTTAATTAGTGTGACTTGCTAATTAAAAGTGCCTGGTGCTGTGTTGGGAACACGTGTAAAAATGCCCATAGAACTTAATGTCAGACGAAACTTGTAGATCTCCTGATCAGTTCTTCTGTACATCCCAGGCTATTAAATTCTGATCAGTTACTGCTATTAAGCCAATAACTTGAGGTTAACTAAACCTCAAGTCCCCTTTTGGCAAAAGAATGTCTCCTATATTCCCTATGTGTATAACTTCGTATTTGTTATTCAGATATGATTAGAAAAGATCAAGCCCTTCAGTACCTTGTGTTTTTTCCCATGAAGGTATTTATGCACTGTAATCAATTCACTTCTCAGTCTTCTTTTTGATAAGTCAAATAGATTGGGCTCTTCAAGTCTCTCACTAAGATATTTTCTCAGTCCTTCTAATCATGTATATGGCTGTGCCATAAAAATGAAACTCATTTTTTAACTTCCTTTTTTGAAATGTAAAAACTAGAATTGCATGTTGTATTCCAGTGTCAGTCTCATTAATGTCATATAGAGAGATAGGGGTGTAGGTTGTAGTCGTGTTGGTCTAATAAAAGATATCAGATTCACCCAAAGAACCTTGTCTACCTATATAGAGAGATACAATCGCTTCTGCTTCTAGGTGCCTCTCCTCTGTTTATAGAACCAAGGATAGCATTAGCCCTCTTTGCCATAGCATTGACTGGAGCTTATGTTGAATTGCTTGTGTACTATAATACTTAAATCCCATTTGGGGTCACTGGCCTTTACGATGTCATCCCAGTCCCTGCAGTACTTATTCTTAGGTGTACAACTTCAAGTTTGGCAGTACCAAAATGTGTTTCATTCAAATGCTTTTGTTTTCTAAAGGGTTTGGATTGCTCTTTATAACTGCACGTTTATTTACCACTTCACCAATCATAGTGTTATCAACAAATTTTATCAACACTGATTTTATATTTATATTGAGATACGTGATGAAAATGTTGAAAAATGTCAAGCTAAGTACAGATCCTTATGGAAGCCCATGGAAACAACCCCATTAAGTATTAATTCCACATTGACAACTACTTTTTGAGATGTCAGTCTGCTGTTAATCCATTTAATGTGTACTTTATCGATATTATACAATACCTTTTCTTTAATCAGCATGTAATGTGGTACCAAGTTAAATGCCATACAAAAAGTATAGATGTGTTATATCTCCTCAGTTGCTTTATTAACTAGTTAATCAGCTTTCCTATTACGTTGTTTGGGATTTATGTCAGGCTAAGCAATATCTAATTACCCAGGTCATGTTTGCCCTCTTTGCATATTGTTAAAAAATTAGTAGGCTTCCAGTCTACACATTTATTAATGTGCTGCAATTGGTGTTACTATGCATTAGCACAGATGAACGATTTTTAAGTGACGTTAATAATCATTAGACTAAGTCTAGTGCACATTAGAACGGTTTTTGCCAGCCGTGCTAATGCACAGTAGACTTGGCCTTCTGCACATTACATGTCTCATGCAGATGCACCTCTTATAAAGGAATTATTCTACTTCTTTCCAAATACGGGGCAGGAATATTTATTGAACCAATCTCCCTTTTAACCATTGTTCTTAGTAATTTTAATTGGGCTCTGTCTGCACTGGGATTCCTTTTGCTTCTAATATAATATAAAACTTTCTTATTGCCCTTGCCAGCCTTTTCTGCATTTCCAAGCTTCCAATATTAGTTTCTGTCTTCCCTTTTCTCCACTTGTAATATATTGTTTTTTATTTTGAGTTACAGTCTTCACTTCACCACTGAACCAGAATGGACTTTTAGCCAAACCTATCTTCTTTCTTGATTGTGGAATTGTATCTTTGGCCATCTAATTCTTTTAAAGAACTCCCATTTTTTCACATTTTTCTGTCTAAAATTTTCCTCCCGATTAATTTTATTTATGATTTTCCTCGGCTTGGGAAGATTACAGTCATTTAGGTTATAGTAATGACA